CTGATGAAGAAGGTGAGTGAACTCAGTACCCTTTGTGGTATTGATATATGTCCCATTATATATAGCCCTTATGAGTCTCAGCCCGACGTTTGGCCAGACAATCGTGGCGTCCATCGCGTGTTGGTGCAGTTCAAGAGGATGCCAGAGATGGAGCGAAGTAAGAAAATGGTGAATCAAGAGAGTTTCATCAGGCAAAGAATCGTCAAAGTTAGTGAGCAGCTTAAGAAGCGTCATAAGGAGAATAGAGAAAAGGAAATTACTCAGGTTATGTACCAATGTTTGATGGGCAATGGGCTGCAGAATTTGATTATGCTAGATTCGAATGATCTCGGGTGGTTGCTGGATCAGGACTTGAAGGATATTAACAAGAGAATTGATGAGCTCAAAAAAACTACTGCTCCACCTCCTCCTCCACAGCAGGTTGCGCCGCCACCGCCACAGGTTCCAACAGGTAATTTGTATATGCAAGAGCAGAAACCGGCAGTGGATTTAACAATGGATGCAATGCAAAGGCCACATTGGTTCACAGATAGGATGAACAATCCCAGTGATCATCGGCAAGTGAATTCTTTTGGGCATGGAGATGAAATGATGCTGCCATTTTGTGAGAATAATCACAATACAATGTGGTCTAATGCCTTCTTCCCTTGATGATCATCTTCTGGAATTCAAAATATTTCATTTTCCAAATCTGACGATGCATTTATACGTTTAAGAGTCATAATTCTACATGTTTTTTTATCATTAATTTCGAGACTTTTGCTTCTTGTTTTATAAGTTTAATGTGAAAATCATTTTGATTTCAGATATGATTGAGCAAAATCTCCATTTAACTTGTATATTTTGCCTTTTTCCTGTTAATTTTTCAGCTTTACAGTTGTCAAATCATTTTAGAATATATGGTATCCAAACTTCAATTTTTTGTAGCATTTGAGTTCCGATGGAGTATGCGACAACCATGTCGAATATTTTAGTGTCCGTGACACTTAGCACTTAGGTCTCTACAAAAAATTTCAGTCCAATTAATTGTAAAAACGTGAGTCCTTGGTTTTTTGATATCGAACTAAGACCTATCATTCACTTGGCATTGAATTGGGAAATGGTATTGAACTTTCAAGAATCCAGAGTTACATCAAGACCTATAGTAATTAGTCTTAAAAAGCGACCAGTTTGATTTGATTTCCTATAATTTCCATTTAGTTGATTTCTTGATTTTGTCCAATCATTAATAATTTAATTTTTTTCTTTAAAAATCGATTTATAAAACACTACGTCACATAGAATTTTCTCGTTAGGGCCAGTTTGATCTAGATATTGAGATCTCTGCATATATAAGATTTTCTTGCAAAATAATATTTATTGAAAAATTTTAAATGTTTCAAAGTAATGAAAAAAGAATTAATATAGTTGATCCTAAATTTATCGGTACAAAATTTGAGCCTACTTTCATATCCATTACAAGATACAATCTTATTCTCAATAATATAGTTAGCTACATGAATAAATTGTCATTGTAATTAATCTTAAACTATGTTTGATAAGAGTTTAAATATATAAATTATAAACATATAGAAATTAATAGTGAAAAGTGGATAATCATTCAGAATTTTTTTTAAATATATAAACAAATAATTTGACCAATTACAAATAATTTAAAAATATTAGCCATAGCAACTTTTTTCGGAGAATAATTTGACACCTATTATTTGAAAAATTAAAGAGTTTTGAATAGTATTTTTAGAGA